TGCCTCCCGAGTGCTGGGATTAAAGGCGTGCGCCACCACCGCCCGGCATGAGTGACAAGTACTCTTAACCACTGAGCCACCTTTGCAGTCCTCTCATTTCTTTTTTTAAAACCCAGTTCACATTTTATTTGCATCGTTAAATCTTCCAGTTGGAACACAAGTCTACCCAACTCCCTTTCTGATTTAATTAAATGTCTACTACAATTCTTTGCTGTTTTGTGTGTAGGTTTAAACCTCTGTGTTTGGGCCAGCAAGATGGCTCGTGGTATAGGGGGTCTGAACTTGTGGCCAAGCTTGGGGACCAGAGTTGGATCTCTATGGCCCACATGGTGGAAGAATAGAACTGGCCACTGCAAGTTGCCCTCTGACTTCTGCATGCACACCATAGTGTGCACATTTGCACACACACACACACACATGCACATAAATAAATAAATAAATAAATAAATAAATAAATAAATAAATAAACATACGTACATAAATAAATAAAAGTTTTAAAAATTTCTGGAGTTAGGGTGTGCAGCTTGGTGATCAGGTATGTATGAGACCCTGAATTTAATCTCCATAATAAATCATGTCCTATCCAATGTGGTATTAAAGCAAACACTGTGTTTAACTGAAAAAGACTACGGAGTTTTAGAAATTTAGTTTATATAATTTAAGGGTTGGCATGTTGGATCCTGTATCTATGCTCAGTCTGATTTTGTATGAATGTTGCATTACATAGTTAATGAGTTCCAAAAATAAAATAAAAACAAAGGATAATATGTAACACAGACAGTATATAGCATCTAAAGCCAAAAGATTTGCTATCTGGCTCTTTACACAAACTAAAAAGCCAAGACTCATAGAGATTTTGTTTCTGGGACTGTTGTATGGTTGGGACTATAAGATGCCCCCTTTTTCCTTCTACTAAAGAGGCACCGCTGAATATTGACAGGACACATGACTATCAACTACAGTTTCAGTCTTCCTTGCAGCTATATGGGGGCCAGATGCCTAAACCTTGGCCCAACTCGTGTGAAAAAAGTTCCGTGTGTAACTTACACTTCCCATCCTTAAAAAGGAAGCTGTCAGAGACCACACAGTCTCTGCATCTTCTTCCTACAAATTTGGAGAAGACACTGGATGCTTTACTAGAGGACTTGAGTTCAATTTCAAGCGCTCAGACGGTGACTCACACCCTCTGTAACTCCAGTTCAAGGGGATTCGATGCCCTCTTCAGCCTCGAGGGTACTAGGTATGCACACGGTATGCACATATGTGTACCAAGTATGCAATATACTTACAGACAAAACATTCACCCATTAAATAAATAAAAATAAATATTTAAAAAATTTAAATCGGCACTGGAGAGATGGCTCAGCGGTTAAGAGCACTGGCTGCTCTTCCAAAGGTCCTGAGTTCAATTCCCAGCAACCACATGGTGGCTCACAACCATCTATAATGAGATCTGGTGCCCTCTTCTGGCCTGCAGGCATACATGCAGGCAGAACACTGTATACATAATAAATAAATAAATCTTTAAAAAAAAAAATTAAATCACAGATAGAACCCTATGTGGATGATTCTGAGTCACATGCTTACCTAGCTCAGAAGCTTCCAAAGAGAAGG